TCCCCCAACCCCCGCTCCCCAGCCCCTACGTACCAGTTGGAGTCAGCTGGAGCTCCCTGCTGCAGGCACTGGGGACTGCCCGAATCATCAAAGCTCTCTGAAGCTTTTCTGAAGGTTCGGAGAGCTTTGAATCGATTCGGGCCTTTAAATTGGTCCCCTGGTTTGATTTGGATTCAGATATTTGGCCACCGAATTGGGCCAAATCTCCTCTGAATCAAACCACCACCTGAAGCTTCGCACAGCCCTACTGTTTGATCTATTTGTAAACTATGCACACACCAATAATGTATTTATTCTCATTTAAATATGTAATATAAATAAATAAAAATACACAAGTTACTTTCAAAGAAAACTTCTTAACCAGAAAATAAATCCTCATTCTACTCTGCACATGTTAAATATTTTATGTTTAAATCAAAATGGGAACATCTCTAACATGTTACAGTTACCATTGTGATGTAAAAGTTATCAGTATATTGTATATGGTTCTCTTGTTTTCTTCTTGCATGGTTATATTTTTAATCAGGCATCTGAAACTCTGTTATCCAAAACAGGGCACTGTTTCCCATACAAATTACATAGAAAAATTCCTTGATTTTTTGTATCAATAAGTTGTTTGCTATGTTATTCACATAATCAAGATGAGATGTTTCTAGTTTAACTAATAGTTTCTCATCTGTGACAAAGCGCACACTCAAAATAAATGTTGCCACCAATTTTAAGTAAACTTATTGTTTTGTGACTTGTGAATTTTGTCATTTCAGGGGCACTTCAGCCATATTCTGGACTTCTAGAAGATAAAAGATTGCAAATCAACAATAGTAACTTTTTTAACTTGTAGGAAAAAGGAAGTGTAAATGCTGTACAGCTGGATTTCTGTACACACCCATTCAATTAAGAGCATGGGCTTAGATTTGTTATACAGGAAGATTTTTTTATATATATTTTTGGTGTACAATACCTTATTCCTTGATTTTTACATTGGAAAAATGTTTTTAATTCGAGATTGCTTCCATCTTGATCTTTTTCCCCGGTGCCTCTCACTCAGTCAAGGTTTTCCTCCTAATCTTTATCGTGTTAGTAATGAGTAAAGAAACATGTGAAAATAGGACTGATTCAGGTTTTTTAAAAAAAATTACTGCTAGCCAAGCTTTTTGTCCAACCCTGTAAACCCTAACTTCTGTAAAGAGTCTTGCTGGAGCATTTTCTATCCTGTTTGGATAGTTTTATAGGTACTAGTAGGGAGCATTTCTTGCACATAGATGAGGAATTTCATTTGTAGCTCAGCCTCATGGAAGGGCACCTAAAGGGAGGGCTCTTTGCGCACAGATTCTGTTCCTGTGCTTGCATTTGTTTGCATCCAGGTACTCTGTTTTTAAAACTTTCCATGTTGATGGACAATACAGTTTTACATACACAGATGTCCTGGTGAAAAAGAAATGTTAAAAAAAAAGTTAGCAGTGTTATTTTCACAATATTCCATAGTTAAAAGTGGAATGCCATTACTTGCTCCAGGCAGTGGCCTACTCCGAACTGTCAAGGATACAACCAGCCTGCCACTCCTTGAACCCAACGTGTGAGGACTGATTTGCTTTCCTGTTGTTGTAGTCTGGCATGGGACAGCATTAGAATTTGTGTTTTTTACAATGCCATAAAGCATCGTAGCTTGAACATGTTAGTAAGGTGCACAATAAATATAATTGTTTAATAATAATTAATGTTTAATAATAAATTATTATTACTGCCACAGATTGAGATTTTAATAATCTTCTAAAATGAATCCATAACCAAAATTCAGCTATCTACTGTTGTGCCATTAGAGTGTGAGGGCAACATGCAGCTTCAGTTGAAGGATGGGGAATCAAAAGATAGACCATTTCTTGGAAGATCAGGAGCTGGGCTAATACGTCAGAGGCAGGTAGACATGACCATACTCCTTCTATAATGCATGCTCTCGTAGGTACACAGGGAGCACAAACTGTTTTAATTTGGAGGCTCTGGTTGTGCCCAGAGGCTGCTCAAGGGAGTGCTTCCTTTAAGCATCCAGGCACAATTTAGCCCCAAACAAACAACAAAGATTCTGGATCAGAGCCTTAGCTACATTCGCTGAAGGACCCAAATAGTTCATAGGACATTGTGGGCATTACAGCTTTCCACCTCCCTACTAATGGGAACAGTCAGGAGCCAGTTCAATTCCCCGAGCAATTTAAAACAGCAGCCCTAAAGCCACACTAGGCCGGCAACAGGCCTCTAAGGGCTGATATGCAGCCAAGCATTATGAGAGCACAGAATGCTCAGCTGATGCCCCTCACTGCTGCTCCCTGAATTGTAGTGGGGAGAGTTGTGGCTGGCAAAGGGTTGGCTGTTTCTAAGAAAAAACATTTTCTTAAATAAATTGATAGCATACAAATATCAAAAAGATAGAAGGCAAATCTATAAAGCAGAGCTACACTTTAGTGGCATGATTGCCTGTCATTTGGTAGGACATTTCCTCCACGTCAGTGCAAGTTTTAGTGATGTTAAAAAAAGAAATCCTTTCAGTGCGTGGATTTTTTTTCAAACATTTTAAAAAGATCTTCATTCATAAAAACAGTACATCTGTTAAAAGCTGGAATCTTTCAAAGCCACAGCAACCTCAAAGGGTGTATGGCTACTGCTAGCATGATTTCTCTTGACATAGCATTTTTTCCCTGGAAGTGGATGCAAGCTTTAGACCTAGCTGCAAGGGGGTATTTTCATATTAAAAGGATAAGAATGAGTGCACAAGTTATCATCTACTGACATTGATGCTTTTAAATACATTTTTTTTTAAATGGGGAAAAAAAAGTTGCCCCTAATTTATGAAGTAATTCATTCTGGTAGTGGTGGTAGTGATTCATTCTTATAAAATTTCCCAAGTTTTAGTTTTAAAAATATAGATAATATTACAAGCAAAATAAAGCATGACTGGGCACAAGTTTCTCTGAAGTAATACTTCAAGTAGATGGCTAAAAGTACAAAGCCAATAGTATCTGAAAATGTAGTTATTATACAGCAACTTGAATCCTCTTATGTTTTATTAAATAAAATGCAAGACAATTAATAACGAGTCTAACAGTCTATAACCAAAGAAAAGATATGGCAAAAGGCACATAAAACTAAAACAGAGTATAGAACAAAAGCAGTCTTGGTTCTGCTACAGGAAAAGATTGTGAGAATGTGTTAAAGCAGTTCAGCACCACCTATTTTTAAAACACTTGGGAACATGTCTGTCTGTATTGCTAAATTAGAAATGTGTTTATATGTTAACGGGAGAAATCTGAATTTTTTCAAAATAGCTTATTGTCAGTTACCTCTTACACTCTATTTGGATACTGTATGCGATTTCTTCCTTTGCTTTAATATTGTTATTTAGAAGAAAATCTCCGTTCATCTAGCTAAGTGACTGACAGTTACTAACTAATCTAATCCACTTCGAGAATAAACTATGTTAAGTGGACTGGAGGAAATATTTTTAGCAGATTGGACAATGAAGACCTCTTAATAATTCACCACTGTCACATCTTACCTAAGAAGGGCTAAATAAGGTAAATTATTTTGGGGAAAAACTAAAAAATATTAAACCAGTTATTACCATCTTCACCACATCCTATAATGTGTTTGCTGTAAAATAAGCAATAGCTGTATAAAAAGTTTGGTGAAGAGAATTTAGAAGATGCAAGATACAGTTTTTCTTCCATTTGTTAAAGAAAGAGGCATTAATAGGTTTCTGCTAGCACCTTGCTACTCCATCCCAGTGAGAATCATAATTTTAGCTTTTTCTTTTCTATCTTCTTTCCCAACTAATTTCTCTAATGCTTGAGTTCTGGGCTTTACCTAATTTCTTTTCTTCTTTTAGCTAAACCTTGAATACCAAAGACCACAATCCTACTGAAATTGCTGGTAATTCCAGATTATCTGGGCCCATCTACAATTGACATTCTACTCTTATTTCATAGTCTGCAAAAGCAAAAGGGAACTAACAGTACCCTGTGTCAGCTATCAATATGGCAGTAAACACTCTTTCTGCTTTTGATTAACAATGGTGTCTATTATGCAAATTAGATAGTTTCTTCACTACTCAAGATGAGACCAAATTTGAGAATTAAAGTAATTCACATGTGGCAAGTGTGTTCTTCCAAGCTTTGTAATGGCAACTACTGGCAAACTCTCAGGTACTATTTTTCTTAATGCACCTTACAGAAAAATGAAAAAAAAAAAAAAAGCTTCTGGGATGTAACATTTTAGGAGGGAGGGGTAAGAATCTAGTTGTGGTGACTTCCTACCATTTATGGTGTTGAGCTCTTGAAATACTTATGTAAAGCCCTGAAGTGAACTTGGCTACATGTTACTGATATTCTGGGAATACTCGACGCAAATCCAAGTGTGTTCTGTACCAGGGTGTCGAGCTTACCTTGCACCCTGGGCCATAGGCCACGATCTAGTAGTAGCTCTGGCTTTGACCCAGCGCAAATAGAGGCAGTTACAGTATAGGGCACACAGCTCAGCTCCAGCTCCTGCTGCATGCCCTGTGCCACAGCCATAGTTGCTATTGCCCCTGCATGCCCCATGCCACAGTGGGGCCAGTGGCCAAGAACTGGGTCCACAGCAATGGCAACAGGCAAACCAGAGCTGTATCA